AATTAATAACGTGTAAGTTCGTGGGGGCCGATGGTCGGCTGCAGATAACCCCGCCGCCGGCGACCGCGTGCACATACACAGGCGCCAGCGTATTATTTACCGCACGGCCATCTGTTTTGGATACTGTGCTCGGCGTTGACAATCCGTTCCGTTGCGGACACCTTACATTTCTGATACAAATTCCAGACCCCAAGACGTACCGAAATTCACTGACGAATATAATTTAAAACAAACAAAAAGGTGGTGGCCTCCTCGTCCTCGTACAATCAACAGTAAAAGGACACAAGTTAAATTACTGTATTAAATACTGTGTGAGGTCACACCTTATGACAAGTCGTCTGTGTTATTTCAGTTGCCTGTATGTGATATAATGATTGTACGAAAACAATTCGAATTTAGATAGACTTTTAAATGTAATCTCACACGTGATGCATCGCTTTATGAATATCGAAAAAAATATATACCTAGTTTAGTTATTTACCAATTAATGAGTTATAAAAGAATAAAATTGTTTCGTGATCAATAATATTGTAATAACAAAAAATTATTAAACATCAAAACAATTTATTAAATATTTATTATATCAATGTAAAATAATAATAAAATATAAAAAATAATTACGTGAAATAAATGCGTGTTTTATACTTGATGATAATTTTTTTTTTTTTTTTTAATCGAAATTGGTTGTAAATTTTTCGATCTACCATACTATTGTACACGATAAGAACTACTAATTTTATATTTTATTTATATATTAAATTATAAAATGTTGATTAAAAATTGCTCGTACATCGTAAATAAAAAGTACACGAAATAATAAAAAATATAAGAAATACCGAGATGAAGCTAGGCGGCTAGAAAATATTGTGTCTTCGTACAACAAACGTAATATAAGAAATATTTTAGTGGAATCACTAATGATTTAGAATTTTAGGATACAATTATTATTTTAATAATTATTTTTCATAATTTTCATAAAAATGTTCAATTTTTTTTTATTTATATTACATAATACCCGCAAAAACATAAGCCAAATGATTTCAAAGCAATGTAAGACTTATCATAAAAAGTAAATTGGACAAAATATATCTGACAGAGAAATGGGAGACGAAGAAGTGACTGAATAAAATATACCAGGAATTATAAGAATACAATTTTAAACAAGTGGATTAATACGAGTACCTACATATGAAAAATTAATAAATACAAAATTTATTACCTATTGAAATATATGACAGGACATTCCATATATTTTCTTATAGTAATTTTTTGATATAGTTAGAATTTTTTCAAATGTTATATCTCAAATTAATTTAAACACTCTTTTGTAAGTAAGCATTTTATATTAATGTATTATCGATATTTAAGATCTGAAATACGATACAATCAATTATCTTACAAATATTGACGGTTATTTATTTTTTATCATTAAGTAATTTGATTATTTATGGAAAAAATATTTTTCATAGAAAATCGCAACTAGGAAACAAGTATCTAGACATATTTTTATGTTTTTTTTTTTTTATGTTCATTTTAATAAATAAATAAAGCATTTTAAATCCTACATCTATATTTAATATATCTCATCAATCAATCTTCTTCTAATAATATTAAACACTCGTATGCAATTTTATTTTAAGTTCTACATAAACTTTCTTTTCAGAACCACCCCCTTGAAAATAATATGGATATTTTGTTTCGACGATCTTTTTAGAATTGTTGAGATTCTGAAAATATATTCATAGATCTTAGAGAGTTAATTTAATGGGCTCCCTGTAGAGAATCTATACAATTGTATATATAAGTATTTTTGTAATTTATATAATTTGTATCTATAGTAACATATATGAACGGTAATTGTTTCCTATATTCATTAGTAGAGCTCGGATGTTAATGACTAAAATTTAATAAAAATATGCATTATAAAATGTCAAAATATGCAATTATATGCCATAAAATGTATTAAATATACCTATTTTTTCGATAAATATATGAAAAAAAAATAGTTAATATTAATTTAAAAAACGTATTTACTCGAATGTGTATATTCGAATTACAATATTTTATTACAAAAAAAACATAGCTAATATACAAGTATATGAAAAAAATATTAATTCATTTTTGATCTATTAAAGTTAAATTTTATATAGGTTAAGCACTTTAAGTATCAGGATTACACTGTACAACAATAATTTTGTTGATATTTTCAAACTTGAAGGACCTTCAACGATCCGAAAAGAAGTTTTTGTAGACTGAAAATTACTCAATTAACAGTAATGATTAATAATTTATAATAATATGGACAATTTTTAATATTTTACTAATAATTTATAGAATATATGCTACTTAATTTAGAAACAATCTATATATGCATTTATATGCTCAAAAATATTAAATATGCAAAAATATGCAAAATAATTTTGCATATTTGCAATCAAGATTTCATGAATCGAATTTATATTATATTAGGGTATAATTCTGATTACGTGAAAAAATATGCCAAGTCCAATACATCCGAGCTCTACTCATTAGATTTTAAATTTGTAAAAATTAAATTAAATTAATACAGTAATATTTTACATATATACGATCTATGTATATTAGATAAAGGTTGTTATCGAAGGAGGAGGGGGAAAGGGACAGTTACCCTCATGGCCTTTTTTTTTCTTCAAATTTTTGTTATTTATTATTTATATCCCATTAGAAAAATACATAAATGTTAATACTTGTATGAAATTCGTCCCCTCCCTTACAAAAAGATCTATGGATGCCTCTGTAACAGATTCCAAGAATAATAGAATAAAATATTAGTTATTTGTCAAAATATAATAAATGATGTTATAACTCATAATTATTATTTAATTTGTGTATTGGTTGTTATATATATATATATATATATTAGTGGCGTACAGAAGATTTTTGACAAAGGTGTCGAAAATATATATTTCAAGGTACCCACCCGCCCCCACCAGTAAAATTTGAGTTTAGGCATAGTATAACTCTTATTTTTAAGTGTTTTTGGTTTTTTCTTACTTACAAAGATATTAAAAATAAAATTTTTTTAAAATAAACCTAATATTAATTATTTTTCAATTTTCTGGGTATTAATTTATAAGTTTGTATAGAATAATTTTTGGGATTGAGCCCTACTACTTATTCTCATGTGACGCTCTAGTTCTAGGGTAAACTTAATTATTATGTTGATTTGGTTAGCTGAAAAATGGGTTAGTATTAAATTAAACAAATATTCATACAAGTTCACACAGAACTAGCCATCCACCAATTCTCTGAGGGGTGTCAGTGGACACCCCTGACCCTCCCTGTGTGCGCCACTGATATATATATATATATATATATATATATATATATATATATTGCTTTAAGTAATCACTAATCTTTATAAGTATAGAAACCTTGAGACGTTTCTACCCCCTCCCCCACCCATTGTCAAAATTCCAGCTAGTAAACAAATAGGTAATAATAAAAACAGTTATTATCTAAATATATCAAACTCCTCACCCTATAAATAATCTTAACTTAGGCCCTTAATTTGAAATATCTAAATTGTTTCTGAACATTTCTGAAAAGTAGAAAAAAGTATATCTGTTATGGAAATCTTGTTGATCTTTTTTAGTTGATTCAACCAAATACATAGCATTAGGTAAAAAAACTAAAATAAATAGTAATTCAAACAATAAGCAGTTAAGACACTTTAGAATCTTTTTCATAACACTCAATAGCCTTCAATTATAAATTGAAAAATAAACATTTCCTCGGGTAATCCACAGGCTCTAGCTGTTTGATCTCCTTGCAACGTTAACGTACCCATTAAAATATTGTATTTTATTACACCATTCATACTTACCAACGAAAAACACTGTCCAGAAAGTGGAAAATATATTTGATCATACATATTGCGTATCAATAATAAATATCTACAAAAAATAAATACTCGTTATACGCATTACCTCCATACATAATAATCTATTATATGCTTATATTTTATATGCATTATAGTATAAATAACAAATACTAAATTTTCATTTTTAAACATACGCCATTCAATACAATTGTAAATTGAAGTCAGACTTATAAGAAAAAATTAGGGTGCCGAGGTATACCCTGCATCCCCTCCTTCAAATGGCAACCTTGTTATGGACTTTGATTTAATTAAATAAGTATTTCTAGTTAAAATGACTAAATAAAAAATGTTTCGGACAACATTTCAGACTAGACAACTTGATATGAGAATTGATTTCTCCTTTGAATTATCGGAGTAATGCTTCTGGTTGAAATCGCGTGGACGGACAGAAGTGATTTATAAAAAAAAAACGTCATGTTAAAATCAATGGATTCCTCGTTCCCCTCAGAATCTGAAATAATAACTATAATAGTTGATTGAAAACCTGATTAATGTTTGATTTGTTAACGGCTCACGATAACTACATTTACGTATGTTACATATCACGTAAAAATATACATATAAATTTATAAATAGTTACTGCACGTCAACCCATTTACACGAGTAGAAAAGATTTTATTTTCACCGAAACCATTTGAAAACTTTTACGCCACTCGCAACGAAGTCGAGTCTATTACGCCAAGTCGCCTTACGTACACACATGCACGCAACATACGAGACTATGAATCATATTCACAAACGCGTAGGTTCGGTTGACGTTTATTCGCGTGTAACAACACCAATATTATCGTAACATGTCGATCGTTATGCGTACCGATCGTTCTCGGACGTCTGCAACGATCGCGTTGGATCTCGATCGACGACGAGACACCGATGCATTCCCTCGAACGTGCGTGCGCGCGTGTATTACGTGTGTGTGTTTACGATGTATTATTATTTAGATCGGACCGAGACGGGCCATGTGCTCGGCGGTTCGGCGCACGCCGATTGGTCGCGATCCGGCCGGTTTGGGCGGGGATCCCGCGGCTGCGCCCCGGAGCGGCCCTGCGTTCGGACGGACACGCGCAGTACACGAGAACACTGCGCCGACGAGGGCTATGCGACAGCTATGCGTGGCGGCGATCGCTTGACCATGAACCTGTTCCCGGACGAGTACTTCTACGCCGACTACCAACAGCATTATCCCCCGGCGGCGGCCGACGAGTACGGGCCAGCGGCTTCGTCTTACCCGCACCCGGTCGTCAAGACCGATGGCGAGTGTTACGGGCAGCAGCAGGACGCGTCCGCGGACCCTAACTACTGCTACGACGCCACGGGCTACTATTGCGGATACGGTCAGTACGACGCGGTGACGTGCAACGACAGCTGGTCGTCCGGACAGGAAGCGCAGCCTCTGCTACCACCGCCACCCACGTACGCTTGCGACTGGACCCCGGCGGAAGAAGGGCCGCACATTCCGCCCGCGCCGTTGCCGCCGTTAACCCTTCCGGAACCGGTTAACGTTTTCTGCGACCATCGGCCCGTCGAACACGCATTTCAATCCGACCGCGGTTCCCATCAAATCGTCACCCCCGTCGCCGCAACCGCGGACCAACATTTCAGTGAGTGCACACATAATCACGAATAAGTCTTCGTTCCGAGCTCTCTTAAACGACCGCGTCGCGTAGACGTTTTTTTTATTTTATTTTTCGTATCACTTTTGTAAAAAACTTTTACTTTTTGATTTGTATATTTTATGATTGACTAACACTCGATTCCATATCTAAGAAATTTGATGCCCGGTGCTAATAATGGGAAACTCCCAAGTACGTCCCAAAATGTCCCTTATTTAATGTTCCGAACGCGTCCCAAGAGAAAAAGGTCACTACTTTGACGTAGTCCAAGTACGTCTCAGTTCATTTAGATTTACCCAGGGTACACCAGGAAGAGGTGAACTGGTTTACGGTGTATACTAGTTGCGGTCAACATCAAAAATTACGTACTAGTTGCAGTCACCTAACAAAAAGGTTACATACTAGTTGCGGTCACTCAAAACATATATCTAGTATATATGGTATATACCATGCTATTTTATTTACAAAAAAGTTTCAACATTTTCCTTTCCATTTTATCAACAGACTTAGGACTGTCTACACTATTTTTATTGTGTAGGTTTGAAATCATAATAGTGATTGTGAAAAGTCACGCGGCAACTTTGGGTGAACATTCATTCTTGCAATGTGTATATTTTTTCTAATTAATTTAATGCCATTTGACCCCAGTACACTGAGTACTGTACTTGAAATCTCAGAATAAAAAAATTTTTGGAGGGAAGCTCGCTCTACTGCTCCACTGCTTTACGTTTAACACTGTAACTAACCTTTTGCCGTACCATTGATCGATACTACTATTACAGGGGCGTATACAAGGGGCATTGTGGGGGTCAGATCCCCCCATAGGTCTTTTAAAAATTGTCTAAAATAGTATTCTTAATGTTAGGAAATAATAAGAAAACAAAAAAATATTTCAACGATTAATTGTAAATTATTATTTTGATACATTCAATATATATATATATATATAATATAATTTGTGACAAATCTAAGTGAATCTTGCAAAATTTGGTATTACTCTGGTGTCATACTATAGACATTCCAATAGGAATGTTTATAGAAAAAAAAAAGATCGGTACTCAATGGAGTAATTAATTACTCCATTTAGTATCGATATTTTTTTTTTTTGGCTTTTATAAAATATGTAGATATAATATGTTTAACCATATAGATATTTTATAGATAGGTTCCCGATCTGTTTTTGACTCATGGTACCCGAAAGTAATTACTAAAAACCCTATAGTAGTACATCATATATTCGTGTATTATATTTATATTTTAAAATTTCGGGTTCCTTTAATTAGACACAACCACACACATTATTATGTATTAAAAGTAAATTAAATACTTTTATCCTTTATTATATATTAGTAAATAGTTAAATGAAATACATAATACAATGGTCTATTGTTATTACAATTAACGCATACGCTGTTTATTTCATAAAATATTTTGTTTTTAATATTGAAATATTATGTATCATTATTTTATGTTTGGAATAATTTCACGGCACCCTTGGTTGAGAATCTCTTCGGTTATACAAACTGTAATAGTTTTAATGATAACAATATTATTAATATATTATTGAAAATGCATTAAAATACCTTTTACTTAATTCATAATTACGCCATCCCATGAAATAAATGCGTTTCTTTATTTTATGCCTATGTATTCTAAAATATATATACTAAAAAATTTTAACAATTAAATTATTAGCACTCTAAAATTCAAGACATTTCATGCCTCCCTAGAAAAGCTCTGAACTAGGCAAAAAAAACACTCGTGTAGGAGGCACTATTAATACCATGATATTTTACAATCAAAATAAATAGGAATATCTTATATTATATGAAACATGTATAATTAATATTATAATAATTATTTAAAAACATTTTGGTATTTATTTTTACCAAAAAGACTTAAATTGGAAATACTTATATTTATACAACTTGAAGCCCTTTTAAGTCTTTAAACAATCATGATCCTAGAAAATAGTCACTTTATTTATTTTTAAATAGTATTTAAAATAAGAATGCTCAAGTACAAATATTCATTTTTTTCAATACTTAATAATCATTCATTTTTTTCTAAAAACTAAATAACCACGAGTCATAAAAAGTATACAGAAACATAATTTAGACGATGAGTTGAACTAAATAATAAATAATGAATTTATAGTTTATTAAAAATAACTGTGGTAAAAAATTAGCAAGGAATTACAATATTTGTATAAAAATTAAAAAAAAAATTAAAAATATATAAAATCCCGAAAAAAATAATTAGAAATTACTTATATCCAGGAAATTTGGTGCCACAGTAGTAATTTTGTTCATGCTTCAAATTTACATTTATAAAGCTAATTACATAATAGTTAGGGATCATTTTTTGATCTAGTTTAATCATAAATATTTAAAAAAATAATAATAAAAAATAATTTAAAATCATATTTAATCGTAAATACATTACGAAAAGTAAAAATTAATGATTAAGATTTTGTAAATAATGCAATACTGATATTAGTTATACCAATTAAAATAATGTACAAGTCCTATAATAATATTTGGATTTTTAAGATGTTTTACTAGTATTTGTTTAATGTTTGTTTTAGAATCATCATTAAACGATAAGCCTATGATGCACAGATATGATCAAATATCCTTAAGAAAAACCACAATCAGACCATCTACAAGTCAAAGACAAAGAGCAAAACGAAAACCTAGAATACTTTTTTCTCAGGTAGTTATATTGTTAGTCAATATTTATAATGGTTTTAAAATAAACTAGAAAACAATTATATTCAAATATGTTTACACTCAATAACAGTATCTAAATATAAACATTTAAAAATTAATTACTATAACAGTGACGATAAAAATCATTTTTAGAAATTCCCCAATAATCATTGGGTACAACATTTAATACTAAAAAAAAGGCGAGACTCCATAGTCGGGTTCGATACTGATACGGGTAATATAGCTGTATTGGTTTTTTAAACTTTCACAACTATTGTTAATATCATTGTTCTGAGTGAGAGTTCGGGTGAATCAGATTACATTTCTAGAAAAAAATACGGATCTTTTCCGTTATACGTATACCACTAGTTAAATTTAAATTTCATAGATTAATTAATCATCAGAGTAGCAAAGATTGTAAGCTTACATAATTATTAATTATTACTAGGTTAGGTGTATAAATTACACAAATTTTAAATAATCAGTAGAAATTCAATCATTCTATAAGGAAAATTATATTTTTGTAAGGTGCTCATATTTATAAAGTCAACTGCCCTTTTGATTTTTCCTATTACTCAATTTGAGAATTACTGCCCGTTAGAATAAGACCGGGTACTTAATAGAACCAAATTTCTTATTAAGATAGGTTTAACTTTTAATCAAACATTTGAAGTTCCTATGATCAGTACAAATGTAATTAAAATATTTTGAAAATATGAAATTTCTATAAAATACTAATATATGTATTCTATAAAGTTTAATGGGAAAGTGGATGACAAAATATTAGAAAGTGCCAAATTCGAAACTCGCACTCGGTTGAAATTGATTAGTAATATTTTCTTCGTTTTTTCAATTATTTATTTGGAAAACAATAAAATAATACATCATTGCAAAACAAATATATTTTCTGCTTCACTCAGAATCTAAAATGTAAATGAATTATTTACTATTGAAATTAATAGAATAAGTATAGAATTTATAATTATATTAAAACTGTTAAAAATTATTTATTGGTAAAACACTCATCAGTTTAAATATATTGGCGATTTATCAATTCCTTAATCATACTTAATTAATTATTGCATAGTTTTTAATCTAAAATTAAAATTTCAGAATTTCGAAAATTAAAATTAAAAGGAAGTATAGATTCGGTATTATAAAAAAGTAAATTTCTATGACTATCATAACATAGGAAAAAATTAGTATCAAACTATTTTTCAAACACTTAAATACTAATAGACAAATTTAAACTTAAGTAAAAAGTTAGATCATCATATTTGTTAGTGTTTCAAATGACTAACAGTGTATAAAATTACAATGACCTCCCTAATTGGTTCTTTCATAATTTGATGCTAATGCCAATTTAATAGTATGGATAATACAAAATAATATAAATACTTACATTATTTTCATTCTTAGTATTGTTTCATAGAAAAAATGTTACTTTCATTTCAATAGATCTCAAGGGGCCTTGTAGTCGAATGTGATAAAACAGTCATGTCTGAATGCACAGTCACCAACTTAAACCAGGCCTCTAAGACTCTGAATGTTTAGCTTTTCAGATTGAATATTTCGAGAATAGGAGCTCATTCAACTAACTAGTTAAATAAATTGTAACCAATTTATAAATTTATAATAAAATAAAAAAAAAGGATCATACTCTGCTAAGAGTACAGCAATAAATTAAAAAATACAAATATTTTAAAAATTCAATATTTAACATCATATTTGTTTTATTGATTTTTTTAGGATGTAATATCAGAATTAGAGCAACGATTTAAGCAACAAAGGTACTTATCGGCAACAGAACGAGAAGCAATGGCATCTAGGATAAGGTTGACTCCAACTCAAGTTAAAATATGGTTCCAAAATCGACGATACAAAAGTAAAAAGCTAATAACAGCTGATAGTACAACATCAGACAACAATAAAAAGCCTCCCCGAAGACAATTTCCCGTAATTAAGCATTGTTACAATTCTGAGTTTACTAATATTATTACAAATAATAATCATAATTTCAATCATAACAATAAATATTTCAACCAGTCACTGTAAAATACATTATTTATATATCCAGATTTAAATATATACATATATATATATATATATATAAATATGTATTTATTTTAATTTATAAGTATATGTATTAGAGAAAATCACCTATTATTATCTTACTTAAGTATTTGTAATTCATATTACATATTTTATGTTTTTGCACTAGTCCATATAGCATATAAAGATCTATGTAATTTATTAATAATACAATGTATACTAAAGATTTAATGTGCTGTATATATATAAGATATATACGTATTTTTTTTTTGTAATAATTGATAAAAATTATTAAGATTAGATAAAATGTTATTAAATTTATACATTTATTTTGTATGTAATAAAATTAATACTATTTTTCTATGTATAGGTAATATGATATAATGCACATTTATTTTGAAATGAATAAAAACTACAATATAATACAAATTTTAATTGGAAGTTTTTTTTTAATAATAATTATAAAAGCAACTCTTATAATAATTCTCAGAATAATTACAGTCAACTTCAAAATAATTGTAGTAAAAAAATGCATCAATATAGCTAATTAAATGTATTAATGCAACTAGTAGATATATCCCTTCCTACAAAGTGAATAAGTCAATCACAGAAAATATTTTTTTTTGTAAAGAACTAGGGTTGTTTGAATAACCATAACACAATATTTTCCTCGGTAGCAATAGATGTATTGTGGAATTAATAAAATTTAATAGTGTATATTGTATGTTAAATTTGATAGTTAGCGACTTAAAAAGCATTCAAGTAACTAACTAACAAAATGAGTTACCTACATAATTATAATCCATAAATAGTAGATATAAATATAGGTATATGTATTATATTCAAAATATACATAAAAGTTTTATCAAATTTATAAATTTCATAATATTGAAGTAAAATTTACTTTTTGGGCAAATAGGTCAAAAAAATGTTAACATTTAACTAGGGCAATATGTTTCTTGGTTAAAAAAAAAGATGTAAGGATATTGATTCTAATAAAAATAAATAAATAAGTGTTGTGCTTAGATAATAATTTAAAATAAATTATCTTATTGCAATTAAATACTAATATATTTAATTTCAACCACAGTTTATTTTCTTTCCATTGATTATCTTAAAAAATTATTTAATTAAAATTAAGTATAAACAATTGATAATATAATTTAAAATATAAATTTAAGCCGTTAATAAAAACTATTGAAATAAAGCTTCACAATGGAAATAACATTAATAGTCACATTATTAGGAATTAAAAATAACTCATAAATAAATATTACTATTGTAGTAATAGATCAAAATACACACAACAGTAGCGCAATCAGGAATTTTTCATAGGGGGGGTCTGACAAAATAAACTAATATACAAATAATAAAAAATTATAATATATATATCTAGAATATGATATTAATATACTATTATACGTACCAAGGGGGGGAGGGTCCAGACCCGGAGACCACCCCCCTGGTTGCGCCACTGACACACAATAAGTCATATTAACGTATTATATAGATTTATTTTTTATCATATAATATTAATTTGCATTAAATACAACATTCTTTGATTGATTTGAATCAAAATCAAGTTTTAGGATATAATTATGAATGACAATAATATAAATATGGTCAAAAAATGTTTTTCTAGTTTGGCAGTGACTGAATAAATGGTTATCTTAATCATATTTAAAGAACAAACTGTTGATAATTGGTTATAGTAAATATTTTTATTTATTCATTTTTTTTTGAATTTAGTTAAATATTAATGGAAATAAATAAAATAGTTGAAAAAAAAATGTTTGATATAAGAATAATTGCTTTTACAAATCATCATGTAGATCGGCAAATACCTCCTCTTAATGCTAATACCAAATGTAATACAGATCCTCCTTGCACTTTATAATCTTGAGCAGTCTTTTCATCATTCCTAAAACCAATATTGTTAATACAATACAACTCAAACTAAAATTTAAAAAAAAAAATGTAGCTTACATTTGTTTTCCAGAAAAAATCAACCTCTGTTGCTGAGGCGGAATACCTTCTTTTTCTTCGACCCTTTCTTTGATTCTTTCCACTCTGTCCGTAGGTTCAATATCAATTTCTATCTACAATGACAACAAAAATATAATAACAATACATCAATAGATACTATACAAAGTATATAATACTAACTTCTTTTCCAGTTAGAGTTTTGACTTTGATCAACATTATGTGATTTGGTTAAGTTTATTAAATTAATAACTAAAATAAAATTCTCTAAAACGGAAAAATGTGATTGAATGAGAATCAAAATTATAAAAGAATTTGTTACATCAAATGGAATGATAAACCGACCACTAAATTACGTATGATAACAGAATGACAATGAATATACATTTATCACGCAATATATCAGCTGCAAACCGGCAAAAAATACTTTACCAACATCATATCATACAATATTTAATATGTAAAAAAGACCGCCGAAATTTAAAAACAATTAAAAATAGAAGCTGCATAGTTCAATAGTTTTAATTATATTTTTACTCCTACCCGTGTAACATCCAAGCAAGCGCGGATCCAAGGGGAGGGGGTCATGACCGCCCCAAAAACATAAAAATTAAGTCCTTTGTGTTTATTTAAAAATTAAATTATGCATAAATTTCGTTTTTAATTTTTTTTCAATTACATTTTTTCTTAGAATAAAAATGATATACAACATGTTATATTTATTTACATTTAAACTAAATCAGCACTTGTTCGTAAAATCATGATTTCCATTCAAATTCTAAGAATAATAATAGCAATTATAAACTTTACTGATATAATAATTGGCGATATATATATATAATAGTAAATTTGCGGAAATGTTCGACGAAAAGATAACCTATTTCAGATAAGATTATTGTCAATCCGTTACCCATAAGTCTATATATTATACCAGTGGTTCTCAATCGAGGTGTTATGAACGAAGTGTAGGGATGACACGAAATCTCCACGGGAAAAGTAAAAAAATAATGATTAATTTTAATAAAATAATATTATTACCACAACTGTCATGTAAATAGCATACCTTTAAGTTTGTATCTTTATATTATTTAGATCCAATAATCACGTGTAGTATTATTATTAATGCGAAATCGCTGCATTATTGATAATTTTATTGATTTAACCGGGGTCGTTAGTCAATTATAGCTCTACGTATCTAGAAGACAATATGAGACTCAGTCTTTCTACCATCAGCCCTCGACTTCCTCAACTTTTTAGAAACCACCCGGGCCCAATATCTCATCAATATATATAAAATCAGTAGTAATGCAAATCATATAATTTTTTCTCTTTTTTTTTTTAATTTGTAAATTTAAACCTTTAAGTGTTTATTGAACCCTGTAACTCAATAAATAGTAGGTGTACTTATTATTTTTCTGTGTATCCTATTTTTTTTTCTTACTTCAAGAATTATTCTAAAATACACAGTCAAGATTATTTATTATTTTGATGTTAGAATGACGTGGTGTTTGATTCTTAAGGCTTAAGGTAACATAAATGAGAAAAGGATGAGAATCACTGTATTTTATCATATAAATGCTACTTACGGCATAGCTAAACGCTAAATTGGGTTCTAATAATTTGTTACAAATGTATTGTACATGCGATTATTCTCTACTCTCAGGTTGCGGTGGTTGCGCGATAACGGAATACTCTCATTAACGTTCATTTACTTTTCACACATTGCCACAGCTTGAATATAAATGCTATACAAAATGCCTAAATATTGCCTAAACATGCAAAGCTCCAACTCCCTTAAGACGTGGCTCCGTTCAAACATGGGAGATGAACGTTTTGCTCAATATTCATAAGAATATACTCATACATTTTGATGATATTATTTCTACATTTGGAACAATTTTAAATTTTATTTAATAATTTATTTTGATTATTTTGTAATTGTGTATTATCTTATTGTTCTTTTAAAAAAATTACCCCCCCCCCCAATTTGAATTCTAGATCCGCGCCAGCATCCAAGAATAACAATTACAATTAATTAAAGCATAATACAGTTATAATAACTAAATAATAATACAATTATAACAATAGTGCTAAAGAGTAGCCTAATAAAATTAAAAAATAAAAAATAAAACATTATATAAAAAAATCACACCACCATATTTTCGTAGGCCCAAATATGTTCATATTATTCAAATATAACATACCCAAAAATAAGCCCTAGGCACAGAGGTGTGTCCATAGTGGTTAAGCCCGGGCCTACCCTGTTTTCAAATAATTATTATTAATATTTTTTACATGGTTATTATTTACTTTTTAGTATCCTTAAATATTATTAACAAGTCAAACAAGAGGAATTGTGTTACATTGTGTCATGAGATAATTTTTTCCAATTAAATTTAAAAAAGTTTAGGAAACTAATAAAATAATGTGTACTTATTTAAATTAAAATGATTATGTCCAACATATTTTGATCCCGGGAACGCTTCTGCCTGGACACAGTGCCTGTAGTGCGTACGCGCTAATACCACAGAATAGATAAAATCTAATACGGCTATACGGCCCCTGTGCGTACGGTGTAGAAAGCTTAAGAACAGCACCAAAGAGAATGTAACGATAATATTATCTCTCGTCACTCTTTCGTGTATTATGTGTACTCTTTGACAACCGATGAGTAGGTATCTGTTTATAACGTCCGTACCAAAGTGCATTGACATATCCGTACGTTTACGACTGCGAACGGAACGAAATCCTTATCAGTTTATCAATAACCAGAGCAAATTATTTAATTATGACAGAGTGCGGACTACTAACTATAGGCTGCTGTAAGCGCTACAGGTACGGCGTATCATGGCAGTACGGGTTTTAGACGACGGGACAAAGCCGATGATTGGCTTAACGTTGAACAACTCGATAGTTGGGTCAAGAACAGCCGATGATACTTATAGTTGTCGCGTTTAGATAATATATTAGAATTCCTTTTGATTTCATCATCATTCGGACATAGAATACCGAAATGTTTCGATGAGATAGCAATAAAAGTTATAAAAAACGATTCGTGCAAAAAACTGACGTTCAATTGTAATTCAAAAATTATGGTATTGAAAGAAGAATGTCCATTAATTCTTTGTTCATAATACCACCACATAAACAATTATTCATCATTGATGAACGATTCAGGACCAATTAATCCATTAGACAATGGATGTTTGTCTTATTATTTTGATGACTTGTCAATCAGTGATCAAGAAACTGTAGCTGAAGATGTCACCTATACAATCGATTCGGACGATAGTAGTTGCTCTAGGACAGCATGTTCATCCATCTTTGGCTCAGGTCCCGATGAATTAGAATCAGAAGCAGCATTGCATTCATCATGTAGTGGTAGCATTTCAAAATCCAATGAATGTCTCATTGACATTGATTCATCGATTGATTCTACTAGTCTAAACATTGGGTAACTTTAATCTATTCATAATTATAATTTCTAGTATATATTTATTTATAAACATCTCATTACATTTATAAAATACTTTGCTTAATGTGTTATTTGCTTTAGGAAAAGAACTGAAGATTGTTTAGTTTCAATTTCAGGTACTCTCAAGTCCAATCAAAAGGTTTGTTAAATAATAATTTAATATAAATGATAAAAATGAGTTACAATTTTTCATTTTAGAAGAATTATGTTGGTGTTAAGTCTTTTGATTGCACAAGCAACACGACTGTTGACAACAAAGAAAAAGTAGCCGGTAGTACTGCATTAATTTTAAATTGTAGACCTGTTGAAATTCCTGCCAAATCAATCAGTGAGCAATTGGAACATGAAAGACTTTATGAGGAAATTTTACAAAATGTTAAGAAAAAAAGTAAAATATGATTATATTGTAATCATGACTAAAGAATTATAAAATTAAACATAGGTAATATTATATTTTTTACAGAATCTGAAGAAGCAAAAAAACAAAAAGAAAATTTAAAACAAAAATTAAAAAATGAACAACGATTGACTTATATTACGCAGATTTGGACACAAGAAATAATTCCAAATTGGAATCAAATGTAAAACTGAATATCTTAATCTTTTTAATTATAACACATAGTTCTTTGTATGCAAATATATTGACAAACTTTTTATTTATGCTAGGAGTCAGACAAAAAGATGCCATAATCTTTGGTGGAATGGTTTGCCTTCTAGTGTACGGGGTAAAGTTTGGTGTTTGGCTATTGGCAATGATCTAATAATCAATGAAGAACTTTACAAGAGTTGTGTTACAAATTCCTTGAGCAAATTTAATGATTCAGAAGGTAGCATGCATTGCCTAGAATACATTCATCTAGATATTACTCGTACATTTCCTCATTTGGGCATTTTTCAGCAAGTAAATAAACATTGGTTTTTTTATTTTAAACAGTATTTTTTTCAATGTAATAATAATAACAAAAAATATAACACTATCAAACCTTCAGATATAATAGTTTAACATTTTAAATTATATTGTTTAATTTATTGTTTAATTTTAAAATACTTAATTTATCAATCTTTATCATAAATGATATCTATTCAAATATTTGAAATGTTATATTGATAAATAATAACTTAAGATTCAATTTTTTTTTTTTTTTTTTTTTGTGTTGGAACTTATTTGTTTAAAATTTATATTTATTTATTCATACATTTATAACATTTTATTTATTCTATTGAATATTGGTATATTTTTCATTTTTATTAGGGGATACATTTTCCCATACCATTATTGTAGCTGATGAATGTTAAAGTAAAAATACCATAAAAAGGAAATAATTTAATTTACTTACATTGGGTCTTAAAATGATTCATCCAATACCAAAAATGTATATTAATTGTAAAATTTGAACAATCAGGTTAAGATAAGTTTAACAATTTTACAAGTTAATCAATTACAATAAGTTTTATGTATAATATTTACTAATGTTCAATGTGTTGATTACATCAAATTATAGGTATAAAATTTAAAATTAAAATGATAATATAGGAAAACCTTTTCATTCTACCTCTTCACTCTTCTCAAGAACAAATATACAAAGCTCAACCCTTCTTTGCATATCGCTGTCATAAAGAGCCTGTGAGAACTGCATTTTTCCTGTATCTCAGATATCTCTACAAAACATGCCAAACTATTGTTTGTAAAATAGCAAGTTCTTTTAATGTAGACAGACTGCTTCTGCGGACTTCTTATATTTGTTGCATTTGCTCAACATTTTTGGTTAACCTGATGACTTCTTTTTACATAAACAACCAGTTTCTCAGAAGGTTTCATGACATCCTCGAATACGTTGGGCTGTTGGAAGTTCACTGTTAAACTTTTATTGAAAATCACGTTGCACAGTAATAAAAGATTTGCAATTTTTGATACAGAGCCCACAAACACTTTTTGTTGTTTGGTCAATATTTTGATAAAAATTAAATCACCACACTCGACTGAGGTACATAGTATACTGTACACTTAAATCACAATTTGTCAGTTATAGAAAAAAACTCAATTACCCTACAATTCAGATAGTTGGTGCTTTGTTTACCATAAACTACAGAAACAATATTTATATCCTACTAAAATCAGATAAATCATTTTGAAATACACTTTTTATTTCAAAATATTTAAAATTTTAAAATTTGATTTTTTTAAATTCTTCAGAATGTACTAAATAATGAATAATTTAACTCATATTTGTAATAAGTGAATTTTTTTTTTTTTGTTAATCATTTATAATCTAAAAATACCTTTTATTTTTTTAGAATGGTCCATACTTTGAAGTATTAAAAAGGATTCTTAGTGCTTATGTTAGTCTACGGCCGGATATCGGTTACGTTCAAGGCATGTGTTTTATAGCTGCTATTTTACTTTTAAATATGGAAGAAGTTGATGCATTTATTTGTCTTGTTAATTTAATGGAGTCTCCATGTTTGAATGCATTTTACACTGTAAACCAACATTTGGTTAGTATGATTTTGAAAATAATTTATTTAATAACTATATAATTTATTTATCATTACTTTTTCAGATGATGTCATATTTTTCTACTTATAATGATCTACTTAAATTTAATTTGAAAAAACTTAATAATCACTTTAATCAAATTGGTCTTACTTCTGAAATGTATTTGGTTGATTGGATTTATTCAGTATTTGCAAAATCTATGAATTTAGAATTATCATCTATTATTTGGGATAACTTTGTAAAGGATAAGGATCAATTCTTATTTCGTGCTGCTCTAGGTAAGTTTGAAACAAGTTTTTCTAATTATTTTTTTAAACAATAAATCCAAATCTTTTTTAATTAATAATGTGATTATTTGGAAAATATTTTGAAATTGTTTGATAATAAGGAATTTTATATTAATAATTAATTTGTAAATAATTGAATAACTATCACTACTTTTTTTTTTGTCAATAATTTAAATATTAACTGATAGCAAAACTAGATTTTTTGTGTTAACTTAGAACATATTATAAAAATTCGATAAAATTCTGAGTAAAAAAATATACAAAATGTTTGCTACAGCTTTACTTCTATTATATTACATAATATTATATTTTAAAAAATATTCAATATTAATTTAATTTCTCTATGAATGGAGTAATAAATATTAAGCTGATTTTCAAAATGCTTAAGCCCTTATATTTTAGACAGTAAATTATTCTAAAAAGGTGTTTCAGGATGTTTAATTGTTCTAAATTAACTTACTATGCTGAGCACTGTATACTTATTTCATAATAATTAAATCCATTCTTATAAATGAGTTGACAAATCTTCCTGGATGATAAGAAATAATATAGTTTATACAAAATATATTTGACTTTGATAGGTTCAGCAGTATTTTTAAAAATAAATTTAAAAAACCTAGGCAGAATAAGACTTTGTGAAAGTTAAATATTTTTATTTTTTTAGGAATCTTACGCAGCAATGAATCTCTACTAATGGAAATGGATTCAATTGCATGTGCTCAGTATTTAACCAAATTACCTGAAAGTTTTACTTCAAGTGCGTTGTTAAAATCAACTGCATCTATCCGTATGTCAATTGGAAAACAATCATTTAGTAATTTACTGATTTATCATCAAGAAAAATATGCCCAAAACAGTTAATTTTTTCTGGCATGGTGAATGGTACTGTTGATCAATTAATTTTTCCTATTATTCCATGTTGGTTAGTGGTGCTAACAAAGTATTTTTTTCTTTTTTACTAAATTGATGGTTAGTGTTCCTGACCACCATAATTAATTAGTTCTTGTATCATCAGTTGTTAGCATTTATCAATAAATAATACTATTTTGATTTATTGCTATGTTGGAAAAAATTTAAATGTGTTTATTATTATTGCTCATTTAGTTATATATTTATTATAGAATAATATTTATTTTTATAATAATCAAATTGTTACACTAATAACAATAATTAATTTAAAAAAAAATTCAATTATGCTAATTTTTATTTTGTAGTTAAATATTCTGGTGATTTGGTTGTTTTTAAATCATGACAAAATATAATCAACTAAATATTTTATTTTATGTACACATTTAAGAGAATTAATGCTCAAGAGCAGTAATATGACTAAAATATAAGTTTTTATCCAATCACCATGCATTAAAATTTATTCATGAGTTTTTAAAACATCTATAAACTAGATATTATTTTCTAAAAACATTCAATTCAATATATCAATCAAATTACATAAACATACACTAAAAATCCAAATGCATTTTTCTTTTTTCTCATGTCACTATTTACAAACATCTGCTATTTATTAACTTAGTAGTACATTAGTGATATTGTATTTATATTCTTACATTCATACTTAAAATTTTTTTTAACAAAACTGGCTATCTATTATTGTTTTATTTTAGTTCATTCTCACTGTTAGTGATACATTTACACTGTTCAGCTGGAATTAAAAGTTATTTTAGAAGGACACGGTGTTATTTTAATAAAATTGTGTTATTAGTGTAACAAAATTATTTTTAATCATAATGGTTGTATTTAATCTACTTTAATGCATATATAAATTATACATATATAAATTATTATTGTTATAAACGTGTATCTCCTTTTCTACCAATTTTAATTATATTTATTTTACTGTTAATAACTATATTATATATTTATTTTACATGATAGTATTTAAAACCTTTTATAAATTATTATTATTATTATTATTATTATTATTATTAATATTGAATTTTATTTTGATTTAAATGTGATATATTATTTGTTTAAAGTATTTTTGACAATAAACATGAAAACTTAAACTAAAAAATTTTTTTTTACTAAATTGATGGTTAGTGTTCCTGATTATTATAATTAATTAGTTCATGTATAATTAGCAATGTTCGAAACGTTTACTTAAAAATAAACACATTCACATACAAGTTCAATGAAAAAAATGAATGGATTTTTTTTTTTTATCGTGTCACTATTCAAAAAATCTTCTACTATCAACTTAGTAGTACATTAGTAATATTGAATTTATATTCTTACATTTATGTTTAAACAATATTTTTAACAAAACTAACTATCTACTATAAAGTTTTTTTTTTTTTTTTTTAATTTTAAGTTGATTGAAACACATTATCATGAAATCATAAAAAAGGGGAGCCTTGTTTTATTTAAGTATATTATTGAATAAAATATAATCGATACAATATATTAATACATATGTAATCATTTACAATTGAGAATAATAAAATATTGAAACAATTGATGACATAATTAGTTTTAGATTATTATTAAATTATAAATATCGGTATATTTAATATATGTTACCAGAATATTAATAATTTATTTTACTGTCGTCGAGTGGCTTATGCCAGTGGCGGCTCTTGGGGTTCATTGAAGGTAGGACACAAATATTTTTCTCCTTTTTCAATATCTCAACTTTGAATTTATCAACAATATTTATTGATTTTATAATATGATAAAATTGTTTGTGTATAAAAACCTTTTAATATACGCTTATGATGTATGTTGTACAAAAAATGATAAAAAATCTAAAAATAAGAAAATTATGGTTTAAAAATAAATAATGAATATAACTATACAGTTAATCAGTAATATTTTTGAATTCCAAATCGATTCGTTCGTCTTATTCTTCATGAATACATTGATGACTTTATTAAATTAAATTAAAAAATATTCAATAAATTAGATATTGTAAATTTGTAACGTATAAAAAAGAGTACCGTCAAATGAAAATACATAACAATTAAATAAAAGAATAAACAATAAATGATTAATAATTATCATGTTCCTATAATCTATGATAAATAACTAAATAGTGTTTGTTCCTTAGATCTAAGATCTATAACCTAACCTAACCTTAAATCTATGCAATACAATTTTTTTTTTTATAAATGTATACAAAAAAAAATTAAAATATTTCGGTTTTTGTAAATAAGACCGCGAGCTGCATATAACTAGGACGAGGGCCGCATGCGGCTCGCGAGCCGCAATTTGGCCACCCCTGTTTTATTGTATGTTGTGACTAAATCATCTGAAATTAGTGTTTCGATTGTCATAGGTCATAGATTTTTTATATATTTACTGTAGATAACTTGTTATATTTATTTTTATTTCATATTAAAACCCTAATCAATAAGTAACTGCAGTAGTTATCAAACGACGATAATGTTATTTTCAGGTCATGTGCCAAACTGCAGCAGTGCAGTATAGTCTTATAAAATAATAAAGTTGATTTCGTGTCCACAGTGTTGGATTACAACCGTGGGATATGGTTATTAAATATCCAGTGGAGATAAAGTACTTTAAGAGAGGGGCAAATTTCCTCATATACTAATGCCCACTTATATAAAAACCATTAACTGTGTAATTTATCGCTCTATCATTTTATCGAGATGGATCGATATTTTCTTATTCTTTGATGAAAACTACCCGATATAAGTTTAGACTGGACTACAGGTCAAACCAGTTGTGCCTGACGTACTTTTCAGATGTATCAAGATATTATTATACCCACCCATCTCCTGAAAAACTCATAGTCTAAAGTGGTTTTTTTTTTTCATTTTTTGTTAATATTATATGTATAAAACAAATAATAGCACAGATATAATATTAAGCATGAATACTACAATATAATCATTATTAATGATAATAATAATTAATATATCTCAAGTAAATTATTTCAATTTACGTGTTATAGTTCTCACTCATCATTTTCTAGGTGAGCCAAACTGAATCATGTCACGAATAATTAGTCAGCCGTCGAACCATTAATAATATAATATAAACGTGTATATACAATAAATATCATAGTTATGATAAGAAGCATTAATTGCCCGTTGATGTACTAAAAAGGAAAAAACGGTTTAGTTGTAGTTGCAACTTTACAGTGTATTTCAATAGTGTTATTTCAGTGTTGATTCAGCATTATAAAAAATCCCGATAGACACATAAAATCATCAATATATTTCGATTAAATAGGTCGAAAAACTTCCTTACAAATCATACTTATAAAAATGTATTTATTTATTTATTTTTTTAATAATCTGAACATAAAAGAAATGTTTACTTTTCTTATTTCAATGATAATACAGTCGAGTGACGATGATTCCAATCTCGAAGTTCTATTTACTGCCCTAGAAATCCATTCAATGCGATATCAATCTCATTATTACGACAACAAAATTGTTATGTATCTACCGGTATGTCGAAGTATGGTACACATCATTTATGGTTTCCCCAATTTTGTATTTGCTTTTATGGCATTTATTTTCACAACATATTATGATGCGCGTGTACAGTTGCGTAATTTGTTGATGGAGGGGAAGAGAGTTAACTCATTAATTTTTAGAGTAAGAATTTTTGACCTAGAGTTAAGCAATTTCAAAGTCGGCACATCATCAAAGTTTAAATATTTCTTTTATAAAGCAATCGAGGTGTTGTAAATCAAAATAATGAGACGTGCGCAATACGGATACTTATGTACAAAGTACAAATCATTATATTTTAAGACTAGCTTGATGTGCCTCTCCACGTTTATTAGTACTTTAGTAAAAGAGTAAAATGAATTGGCAATTTAATAAGAGTACGTGTGCCGTATATAATATTATCAGATTGTACAAAATTCACAATCCAACACATAAGCTGGACATTGTATCGTAGGAAAAAATAAAAACGATGCAAGTTTACTCAACATATTTTATTATAAAAAAACCAGTGGCGGCTCATAGTGTTAAAAATAGGTGGTGCACAAAATAATAACTAATAAGCATTTACTATGATGTAACATGTTTTTACTGGTTTAAAATAATGTATCTTTTATTTTATTTTATATATACTCAGTGGCGGCTCGTGGGTTTTTAATGAAGTAGTGTACATCCAAAAAAAAAAAAAAAAAACCAATATAATATATATATATATTATAAATTGTATTAAATAATTGTTTTCAAATTTTAGTTATTTACCAATTACTTTTTCTTTTGCTTATAACTATTTTTACAAGTATAATAATAATAAATACATAATAATAACAATAATACATTTTCAAGTAAAAATACTATGATAAAGTAGATACAAATTATTATATTTCAGGTACATGTTTATATGTTAAATCGATTCTCCTCTCTTTTTTTTCTGCAAATCTGTTGATTACTTCTTCGTTGAAGTTTGGAATGTTATTGATCATCCGTTTTTCGATCGATAACATTGCTAGTGCTGTAAGTCGATCTTCTGTCATTGAATTTCTCAAAAATGTTTTAATACGTTTTAATGTAGAAAACGATCTTTCGGCTTCAGCTGTAGTCATTGGAATAGTTGAAATTATTTTTAAGAGTTTGTAGCTTTCAGAAAATATTAGTGTTAAATTATTTTCAATTATAAATTTCAATAAATTAACTGTTGAATTAATATCACGGAGATCGGTTCTTTTGTAGAACAGTTGTAGTTCAGTTTTAAGTTTAGTAACATCCAAACTAGGATATGCTTCAATAGTTTTATTAAAATGGTCAATTGGAAAGTTATTTTCGTACATAGGAAATTTGGTAGATAAAAATAGGTGCGAAGCATTTAAGTGATTTTTATAATCAAACCGTTCTTTAACGTTGACAATAAAAATGTCACATACTTCTTTTGCAGCGATTTTTCTTGTTTCAATAGTATCATCATGTCTTCGTTTTTTCGTTAGATGATTTTGAGAGGTTTCAAAGATGTTATCAATATTCTGTCTTTCTTTTAATATATTTTCTTCGAACCGAAAAATTGCCTTTGAGAGTTCTACTGGATCCATAGTTTGTTTTTGTAGTTGATTATATAAAATATCAACATGGGGCATTAAAGAATGAAACACTCTTAACCAAAATATAAATCTATCATCAATTAACATTCGATGCAAAGCTCCAGCTTGATTAATTGCTATGGTTTGATTAAATGTTGAGTCAATTTCTTTCATACATTCAATTAATGACTCTAGATTTTCATACACAGTATTTACTATTCGACTTTTAAAATTCCATCTAGTATTAGATGATTGAGGAACTCTGTGTTTAACAATTTTATCCAAAACCGTAACCCGCTGTGGACTGTTGGAAAAAAATTGGTTATATCAGTTAAGTTTGAAAAAAAAATTCTTATCTCACGATTTTGTGAAGTTGCTTAAATTAAAATTAAATTAAGCTGATGAGCATAGCAATATATGAAATGTGCATTTTTATAGCTATTGTTTATTATTTTTTGTACACCATTGAGACGTCCACTCATCACGTTTGCGCCGTCGTAACTTTGACAAATCAACATATCTGGTGACTCTAGGACTTTTTCCAAATTGAATATTATGCATTCAGACAACGATTTCGCATCGTGTCCAATAGGATTGAAAAATCCCCAAAACCTTTCTACTGGTGTTCCATCCGATAGTAAATATCTAAATATTATTGACAATTAAAATTGAGCAGATACGTCAGTTGTTTCGTCAGCAATTACAGAAATATATTCTGCTTGTTTTATTTCATTTTTAATTCTTTGTTGACATACAGCTAAACAACATTCTAGTAAATCATTTTGGATTGATTTGGATAAACCTTTAAATACCGAAGAGTTCTCAATATGACATTTTAGTACCGAATCTAACTCTGAACTAAAGTTTATAAGACCTCGAAATACGCCGGGATTTTCTGAATTTGATTTTTCATCGTGACCTCGGAGTGCAAACTCAAATGCTCCACAAAATTTAATACAATTTATGATTTTATTCAATATATAACGATTATGACTTATTTTTTCATTGTATTGTTTGATATTCAACCGATACGCATAAGAAAGTTGTTGTTTTATGTCTTGTTTTCCTAATAGTTTTAAATTTAATTAAGAATTTATGTGTGTTATTGATTTTTCGTGTGTTTTGATTTTAGAATTTAAATGAATTAAATCGTTTATTCCATTCTTTACCCAAGCGGTATCATTAGATTTTTGACCAAAAAGTAGACAGGGAAAACAATACAAACGATTTGTTTCTGAACAACCACAAATCCAGTCATGGGTTTTATACCTATATATCATTTTTAAATTGTCTTACATAATCTCTCGTTTTACATTTAGTTATTTGTTTAGTATTTAAATCTGGAGTAGGCCTACCTGTATTTTTTATCTCCATCTTTTTCTCCAACGAGATTGATGAAAAATTACATTGCAGTATTTGCTGTACTGAGTTCATTTTAAAAATTGAAAACAAATACACGAATAACGTTAATGTCGGTCGTCAGAAACACGATTGTCACGATTAATGTTTTGAATTTCCGATAATGATCGACTAGCTAATATGATCAGCTGATAATCGGAGTATAACAAATGAATGAGAGTAAAAATAAACTATTATAACATAATAATGCCGATGCCGACGCGCAACGACGCGGTGACGTCGAAAATAATTCACTGAAAACAATTTAATTGGTTATGTGCACACAAACAAATGTGCACACCAATTCCATTACAACGCGGGCTGCGTGTATCGACTTGCTTTAATTTTTACACGGTACAAATGTGCACAACGATTGTGTGCACAACTGCACTACTATAATAGTACACGCCGATACCGTTCTGTCGCGGACAGCCGGACGACCGTTTAGTTGTCGAAATAGCCCAATCCAACTATTAAATATAATATTATAATATCATTATTTTCATAATATTCTGAGTTTATATTTTTACATTTTGAAAATAATCCTTATTACACCTCAGGTACTTAGTTGTGTTATTATGATGTATGTTTTCAATTTTTCTTGGGTTTAGGTAGGTAGTGCATGTGCACTTGTACACATACACACGAGCCGCCACTGAAAAAAACTAATAGGTATTCGCGCTAACAGTCTGCGACTACAGAATTGCGGAATGCCACGTGACGCAGCGACTAAGAGAATTTTCAACCGGGCACTAGTTAGGTTCGTTTTGTGTTAGTGTTTTGTTGATTTATTAAATAATATTTCGTTAAATGTACTTATTACATTTCGCGACCGAGTGTTAACGTTTTGTGAGTACCTATATCGTGTTGTTACAATATAAATTACATGTTAGGAAAAAATAGAAATCAATAGCAATAACCGGGAAAGAAGACTTGTAGCATTTATATATTTATTTTGCACAATCACAAAAAGAGCAGAGTACGAAACAAATACATTTCTTTCTTTCACAAAGCTAGTCATAAAATTTCATTTTATATATAAATACATATAAAATACATATTTCGAGTTTTTTTTTAGTTTTTTAGGGTACATTTCTTCAATTTTATATTTTTAAATGCATATTTTAAATAAGTAATGGTTTCATCACTATTTTTCCTTCGATTTTTTTATTTCATCTAATATATAATCAAAATATTATTGAATTAAAAATAATTTTAAATTTTGATCATATAATATGGTTGTTAAATGTTTATGACTAGAATTAAGGACTTGTTGCATTCGCATATTGTTAATAATAATAATAATAATTGCAGAATATTCTAAGATAAAAATTTGTTTTAAGTCATAACGGACTGAAATATAAAAATTATGATTGCATATTTTCCCATATTTCACCGTTATCTAAGCAAAACGCATATTTGACGAATTTTGGCAATTTAATTGTTATTTATAACATATTTAAGCAGTTTTCGTTTGGTGTTGAGTAAATTTATTCTAAAGGTTAACATTATTTTTTTTACTTTCATGCATCGGTCAATATACGTAATCACAGAACAAGTCAGGACAGGATAACAAGGGAAACTAACCTCATTCTTCCTGCGTATACTATTGGTTATCGTAAATCGTTTTGAGAATGTAAAAGGAAAATAAGTAATCAGTTAGTTTTTTTCATCGTTAGAGAAGATGAAAAATATTAAATCGAACATATACAGTAATATAAAGTATATAGTGTTATCGTTGTCAAAAAATACTAATTCAAAAAAATGTCTAAATTTAAATGAATAAATCAAATTTTTTAATCGTCAATTAAGAAATATTGATGTTGATATTTTTGCGTATATTTCGGTTATTTTAAGTGCATATTTGTATGCATATTTCCTAAAATATGTGTACAATAAGTTCCGAATCCTATTTATGACACATGATGATGCGGTACCGTGATGTCGTAGGTACAATATGTACACCGACACCGCGCACCGCGTTAGCTTCTCTCCAGCCACATCCCGGGTGGCGATAATATCGCACCAACACTTTCCTACCTACCTCTGACACCGGGCAGAGGGGGAAAGTGTTGGTGCCGATAAGGTAGCGCACCAGCGGCCGGCGGGCGGTGTCTACGGACGAGGCCCATCTTTCGACGGACACCGGTTTGGTCAACATCGACACACCGATTCCACCACTGTCACCAGAGGACCACATTTTTTATTCTAACCTTTTAGACAAATAAATAAATTGATCGTCATATCTTTTTCTTTGGTTTCTCTTCTCTTTTGTTTTTTTTTTTTGGTTTGTTTAATCCATTTCATTCAACTTTGACCGGCCACCTCACCGAGGGAAATCCTACTACCGACTTGAGGCCGTGTCAATTGGCTCCCCGTAAGGAATCATCCCGGTAGCGGAAAAATCAAGGTAAGAGTTTTTCGCTAGTATTACCTCGGATTTGCTATTATTCAGTGTAATAATTAGATATTCCAGGTGTACAATATTTTTGGTTAGGCATATTTTTACATTTCTTTTCGAAGTTAATTAGGGAAATCCGCGCGACAAAAATATTCGCGAAAAGATTCGGTCCCGTAGTTACGTAACTAACGACCAACCACCTCTCTACCTATCCGCACCGACCGCCGATAATTGCACATCACGCCGATTGTGACTTGGGCCGTAGCACACGCGCCACCAGTCACCACAGCTTTGTCGCTATTTCCGCCGCCGTCTTTATCGAAACTTGATTATTGCGCGGCGCGGTATTTAGTCATTATCGGAAGTAGGTCAAACGACCTACGACAATATTAAATATAAATTTTATATCAGCGGGCCACAAACAAAATAACAACAGAAGTGTGATATCCCGGACTGTGTGTTTTTTTTTCGAAATCGTAATAAGTACATTTTCGCGAAATCTTTGTCTACGACGATTTGATCTACACCGAAACACCACACGTACTCTAATCAACCATACGGTGTACCGAATAGTAGTGATTAGAATTATTTAATAATTAATTTTTACACTGCCGGACAAATACATTAGTCAACTGACGTTGAAGGAGTTGCGACACGAGTGTCAGGTTCGAGATTTAGCGTGGACTGGGGGCAAAGCCGACCTGGAACTGAGACTAGCTGAATGTTTACGATCAAACGGTATCGAACCCGCAAACGTCCGGTTTGCGTCCACACAGGCGTCACGACAGTGCATTACGACACACACCACTGCAGGGAACGGGTGAAAACACAGTAGGTTCACCCAATGCGTCAACTCTGGGAGGTTTAGGCGACTACACAGTAGTCGCACAACTACCAGGGGGCGACTTTGCGGGAAATAATGCGTTTCAATCGACCTCAAATCTACTCGATACCGCAAACACCGATAACGTTTTCAAGTCCGCAGCAGCTCAGCTCGGATCGCTACGTGATTCAATCGTCGGGGGGGGGGGGCGAGCGGAACTCGTTAGAGTCACGCTTAACGGCGCTAGAAACGAGTATGACACGTTTTTTCGAAGAACAACGTCAATTCTCGCGCGGAATGCATCGAGCACAGCTCGACGTAGTCGACCAGCAGCCGCGACTACACGAACCACCGCCACGTTCTCCTATACGACCGCACGAATTAACGTACGCACGCGAACGTTATTATCGAAATTTTCCGCCCGTGCAAGACAGCGATACCCGACAAAAAGCGCAACCGGGTACCAATCGCGTCGACGCCACAGCGAGTTACGCACACTACACGCGAAACTTGACCGGCGACCAAACGGGTTTTCACGAAAATTCACGGAATTTTTCGACATTCGCCCCACGTGCACAAGAACGTTCTGTGCTAATACCGTATGAGGATTTGCGCGTAGCAAGAGCTTCGTTACCGGAGTTTTCCGGAACAAGGGCCGAAGACCCCGTACGGTTTTTAGATAACACGGAGTCCGTTCTAACGCAGGCGAACATTAACATGTCTGGGTGGTGTAGGGCAGTTGAACCGCAATTAAAGGGTACGGCAGCGACTTGGTGGAATTCCATTAAGGTCCTGGATCTATCCTGGAGCGAATTTCGTGTCGAGTTTCTCGAAAATTTCGACAACGACGAAATAAAGCTACGATTGCGATATGAAAAAATAAATGTTTTGTTAATTATTACACAACATTTAAATATTTTATATATTTTAAAAAAAAATATATGAGCATATTTTTAGTGCGTATTAAAAAAATTTTTAAATGCATAAATACTTACATATTTAATGATTTTTTAGAGCTAGAAGTTCTCTATCCTAGTAATGACTATTGAATTTCCCAACCAATAATGTATGACAAATTTTTGTCATACCAGCCGAATAACCCGGGCCCACCCGGCAATATTGTACTATTTTCTATTAGAATAATAACTATTTCGATGAAAAATAAAAGAGTGATACTCCCTGGTCAGGTGAAACTATGATCCGGTGATATACATGGCTGGTATTGCTGTATTAGTCTATTAAACTTGAAACTTGTGTACTTTTATTGCTTTCGAAATAACGATTTTGAGTAAAAGAAGTCAGGTGGATCACTTTTACTTATAATATCAGTTATATTTTTAAAGATGGTTGATATAGTAAAATAATCAAATTTTTTAATAGGGCAAGTTGAACTTTTTGTATACCAACTTTTGCAAATAAAAACATCTACAATTGCACAAATTTCATTAAAATATTTGTTAACAATGAAATATCTTTTAAATGCTAATACAATTATTCAGTAAATTTTTAGAATCGCTACGATTAATATTTACATAATAACAATTAAGTGACTAATATCATTACAATTTGACTTAATATTCTAACTTTTGCAACAAAAAAAAAAAAACATCTAAAATTTGTTACTTTCCTGTCATTTTTTATTTATTTTTATTTTATTGGCTATAAACAAAATCTTATGAAAATCTTGTATCAAGTTTTATTTAATTAGACAATTTTATTTGTAAAAATTGAAAAATACATGAATATTTTACAACAAATATGTAGCGGGTTTTTGTGTTTTTAGCGTTTTGTTAAAGAACCGAATTGTAAATAGTTAAATAAATAATAATGTTGATATGGTCACATTCTTATTATTAACATGTATCTTAAATCATGCTGTTCAGCAATTAAAACATCTGTTTCTATCAATTAGTATACCAAGGAATAAAATGTTTGGCAAAGTAGGTACTATTTTCTATCGTTTGACTTTATAAACTATGAAACAAATTATTTTTTTTTTTTTTTATTGATATAACTACCTACCTTCTTTGGTATTAAATATTATTCAAATTTATTTTTATTTTATTGTTTATATTATACATAAAATTATCTATCAGGATAAAAAAGATATATTTGTCTGATGTTAATCTTTAATAAACAATTAATAGTTGGGTCATTATGATGACCAGTAGGTCTGACATGATTAACCCTTTCAAGAACCCTAAGAATGCGTTCGTTCTTTTTTAATTATTCAATTAATACATTTTTTTTTATCAATATATAAGATCAAATAATTGTGCAAATTAGTTTATAAATATTGTGAAAATATGCATTGAAGTGATTGGTTTTTTACATAATTAAAATGAGACATTTAGATATGGAAAGGGACAAAATGACTTGCGTAAAGTGAGAAGGTGAAATGACAAAGTTAGGGAATCAAACTTATTATTATGTTTGATTATATGAAAGTTTAAATTTTCTATACGAGTATGTACTATACCGTCCACGGCATTAATGCGTTTTTAATACTTTTTATCATCATGAGCCATAATAAATTTCCCGTTCAATTTAATTCTATATAAAAAATACAAATTATAATAGTTATAAGAATAATTTATGATTACTTAATATCATAATTAAGTATTATTCTGTCTGGTAGAACTGTCTAAGTAATATATGGTACAGTATATTAAAATAAACTGAAAAGTAAATATAATAAAATCGAATTATTGAACTTTAAAATAAAACGTTTACAGTAAAAATTATATATATATAATTTTAAATTCATATACAAATAAAAAAAAAAATTCAATTTTCATGAAAAATAAACCATTAGCCATGTAATTATATTTTCTTAATTCAAAACTTGGGTAGGTCACGGCCAGTAGATTCAAAATATTAATTTAAAATATTTAGAACATAATTATTTTTTTTCTAATACATTATGTTACTCTAACTATGGTTGTAAACATTTTTTTAGATTAATTATATATTATACATTAATTATTGTCTTAATATAGTTAAAAATAGGTTTTACAGGCAGTACTGTTATAATTTTCTTTTTGTACAAACATATTTAAATTTTACTGTAAAAATCGGTTTTTTTAAGGAAGAGTAACAAATAATTGATATTTTTGATGTCTGGTCCTAATTTTTCATTCATGTTGGGTGGAACGTTGTATTTTTTGAGGTCGTCGATTTATTGATGGTACTCTGTTATTATATGTTTAATTGTTAGAGTAACTTTACAGAATGTACATTGTATAGGTTCCTCTTTGGCCATGAAAAATTTGTGAGTTAGGCCTGAATGGCCTATCCAAAGACGGTCAATCACACTTTTTTCTTTTCTACTAAGATTCGAGTTCTGCCAGTTTAGGATTGTGTTTTTTATTTCTCTGAGTTCGGTCCGTTGTTTCATACAGTTTCTTTGCCATTTTATTAAGATTGAGTTTTTAATATGTGTTTTGATGTTGGCATAATATGCAAAATATTATGTTACAATATCAAGAATCTGTATATTGTAATTTAATAGAATAATTTATGGACTTTATTATGATATATTATTTTTTCGTTATCTTATGTAACATAATAATAGCCTTATAATAAGATTGTAACCGTTATTGTTCAAACGCATCGAAAAAAAAAATTATGATATCTATGACCCCGTATCGATATGAGTTTTTCCTTTGTAAAAAAAAGGTTCATACAGTTATGTATAATAACTACTGCAATGAACTGATATAAATTAGAAATTATTTTCTCTTCTTGGTCTTATTGATGGATTTGCTTACTTCACACATTAGTGTGGTTTCAGCAATGTTTTACCATCGCCATGACAAATGAATGCCGGTATATCTTATATTGCTTCTGTTATTGAAAAGGTAATCTAATTTGTACTAATATATTAGAAGAGTCATTTAAATCTAACTGTTAACGTTTTTCTATTTTTAAAAACTTACATATATCATAACTATAATAAAATTATTGAATTGTCTATTTTTATACTTTAAAATTTCAAACAACCTGTACCATAAAATGAAGACCTATCAATGAGATCGGCGCATGTTACAAAAATGGAAATGTTCAGGAGAGTTTAACTAAATTAACTGAATATATATCGTTGAAATTGCTATATATTATGCTAAATTACAATAAATATTCGGACTTAATATACTCCTATGCATACAATATGTACCACAATATGTTGGCAACTCTAAATTTTATTAATTTTTGTAATAAAATGATTTTTAAAAATATTGTAACATACACCGTTTTTATTGATAGGTCTTCAAAAGGTCTTTTGAAATTTCGTTGAAATTAAAAATTAAAAATGTTTTTTTCTTTGCTGTTATGGGATAAAAATATGAAATTGATATTACGTTTTTCACATGTTACCCTTGAGTCAGACAAAGATATTAATATTCCGGTGGATATTTCTAATGGAAAAACTCGGTAGTTAATTCTGCAACAGGCATACAGTATAAATATAATTATAATACATTTTAATTTTAATACATATTTGATTTTTTATCGATTATAGGAGATATGTGTTCATTTTATAATTAAAAATATTACGAATAACTATATTATAAAATGTATTATTAGTAGAAAATTATATTTCATTAAAAGTTATTCTTCATTTACATACTTATGTATGTTAAAATATTTCCGCGTGGCAACGTAACGGGGAATTTGTTGTGAGAACTTTTTTTATCTTGACCGAATTCCTGCCATATCTGAAGTATTGTTACGTAGCATCTAAAAAAACACTTAACTTAATTAATAGCTTCTTAATTGTTTTACAAAAAAAATTAATTCGTTTTGGGTATAGCCTACTTGCGCCAAAATAAAATAGATATGTGATATCCGACAACCTATTTGCACCAAATTTACTTGCGTATATATTATACATTAACGACTTGGTTAATTCAAAATATATACCTACTAATTACTTATTATTGTTTAAAAAACATATGTATTATTGACTATTACTTTAAAAAAAAATGACTACAATGGCAATAGTAGTTTTTTGTTTGTTATTGTATCCATTTTAAATATGGGATGTAGGTAAGTACCATGGCCTGGTCTCAACAGTTTCCATGTAGGTATATTTGGTAGTCGTACTATGTGGAGGATAACAGAAAAAAATGTTGAGAGCCGATTTATTGTGTTCGGGAACAGTGTCAGAAACTCTGGATAAATGCCATCTAACACTGCCGCTTTCCTGAGCTTAACGCTCTGCAAGGCAGTTTGCACTTCTTCAAATCTGAAATCCTCTGGACATCAAGATCTTTCTTCTGCGTTTAATTTCTTAACCATTATGTTCATAGATACTTCTCCAGCTGATATTTTATGATATTTTATTTAGTTTGCACAACTATTGGGCGAAATTTTAGTTGTTCTTTTAGTCTATTACTTTCATCGGTCCAGCATGGTATGTATTCTCTTCTATAGCCACGGAGTATATGGTGTTTTAGTGCTCTTTTTAAGTAAAGTATATCACTAATGTTAATGGACGCACAATTCAGTTATGTTTTATTACTTTTAAAAAAAAATAACTAGATTGGTAATTGGGGTTCTCTTTCACCATCAATATATGCATTATAATACAGCATACACCAATTATATTCATTAACATTTAATGTAGAAAGTTTAAAATTAGGATCAGCTACGCTTGGCTCAATTGTCTTTATCCATACTTGATTTTAAAAGAAATAATTATGTTTCTTCCTAAACTTTTGAAGTGACAAAATATATAATATTGTGTGTTATAATTTGGTGTTATAACACCCGGTAGTAATAATTATAACTTATAAATAATAATTATGATTTTGTCCATTGATTGTTGCAAGACAAAGTCTAGGAACAATACTATTATATTATTAATTATATATGATTGAGCACTGACACAACTATGGTTTTAATATAAGTACGAATTCATTGTACAGTTTATTGTAGGTAAAAGAGTTGGTATAACAATAAAGGGGTAATATTTTAGAGCGACCTAAATGGTATTGCACGTCATTAGATGATAATTGCATTATTATATATGATTATAAATAGGGCTCAGAAGTTGATGCACTTTGCATTTTTTCTTTTTGTACGATTTTATTCTCCTGACCACAAATATGTTTCATTACCGTTAGAATCCGAATAATTAATTTTTATTTTATATTTTTTTTTTTGCATTTTATGGTTTTTATTGCTTTTTAAGTAATTTTTTGAAATTATTTGGTAATCTTCGACATTTTTAGTCATTTTTACTGATTTAATACTAGTTTACTTTTTATCGCTTCTTATCGTACCTACCTACATTTTATTATTTTTTCCTAATATTCGAGTAGTACCTGATTTTATCTTGCCGATTACAGTCGTCGCGTCGTTGTCATGTTATAGTGAATAATAACTATTATATCTAAAGTTTACTATTTTTTCATAATATTTTCGAAATGTCGGAAATTAAAACGTCGATTAGTGCTCGTCTGCGACTCTCAATCACTTTAGTGGACGTGGAGAGAAGTTTTTCCAATTATAAATATTTATAAAGAGATAACCATCGTTAATTTACTTTTTATAACATCAAATACGCTCTAATTGTATAATACAATGATTTTGATTTTTGAGAAATTTGTAAGCGTTGATCAATTTATAAGAACAATTTTTGTAATTTTTTTATTTTATTTTTAAAGGACATTTGATGTCATTTTTATGTCATATTTTGAGTAATTTGTAAGTTTTAATAAAATTTTATAGTAAAATAGAGTAAAATATTTAAAAAAAAAAATGTATATTTATTAATTTAAAACAAATATTTGTAAATTTTTTAGGTTATTTTTTAAGGAAATTTTTTTGTCATTTTTATGTCATATTTGAATTTTTTTTTAGGACATTTGTTAATGTTTTTAAGTTCGTCAACTTTCGAGCCATATTTATTAGTCAGTTATCATATCTAATCGGTACCTATTCAGAAAAATGATATCTTAGTTAAAACATAAATTTAAAGCCATTCTCTCCAATAGTTATTTGTAGTATATATATATATGTTTAGTTATTCACTCACATAATTTGTAAAGGCTGTGTGCCTAAATAAATATTGATTTGATGTAGGTTCGAATTGAAGCCAATCGTGTTCAACAAAAACAAACCATGGAAAAAAATATCGCCGAAACATTTAGAAATGGCACATTCTTAGTAACTGGAAGTACAGGATTTTTGGGGAAGGTACTTATTGAAAAAATACTTAGAACTTGTTCCGTGAAAAACCTTGCGATTATCGTGAGAAGTAAAAAAGGGATTTCATCCAAGGAAAGAGTTGAAGATGCATATAAACAAGCCGTAAGTATATATTTAAAAAACAATTTGGCAATTAAATTAGATAATAAAATAATAAGAAATTAAAAATTATTAAATGGTTAATACTCATAAATTAATAATTAAATAAATAAATTAATTGATTAATTAAATTTTAGCCTGAAGTATTATTATATTTGTAAAGTACGACCGTAAATAAATTTAATTATCAATACGAACTCAATATTATCTTTAATATAGCGCATAAAAATAATTTAAATTTAAATATTATTAAAAATATTCATAAACATATTAAAAAATATTAAACACAATTCACCCAATAATATTTTTTAACTAATGCAGTATAAATATTAAAATAATATATCTAACAAATTTGCTTGAATTCTAAACAATAATACTAATAATGTAAAAATTTCTTTTAAAACAAATTATAATTTAATCAAACATATATAAATAATAGAACTCAAAACTACATGAAAAATCACAAATCTTTTTAAAATGCTGCTATATATAAACTTAAATGTAACTGTAATAAATTTTATTTAGGTACGACAAATAGAATTTTTTAAATAAGATATAAAGAATGCATTTCTGAAATAAAATTAAAAATGACTGCCCTTAATTTAAATTTTGCTAAACATGTGTTAGAAAATAAATATAATATTCTTTCTAAGAAATATTAAATATTCAAAATAACATTTACAATATTTCAGTTTTAAAAGAGTTACATAAACACAATAAAAAAAAAAAATTCAGTTCTGCTATAACATTCAACATGCACGCACATATTTTGCCTTATGAGCTCCGTTATCGCGTTTTTACATTCAATATGATTTAATCATCTCATATGGTAGACACAATACACGACACCGATGGCGGTCTGCCTCGTACGCCTTGTTCTAACAAACGTAATTTATCTAAATCGTCAACTGACGTAAATAAAAATAAAAAATATTCGTTACACTTAATCGATTTGCCGTCTTGGATTCCAATGACCCCAGTAACAGTGTACCATATTCAATACATCCACTAGTTCGTCAGCTCCCAACAAAAAACCAGATCCTGCAAATCAAGACAACGAGCCACCAATCTTCAATAAACAAAACGTCACGCCTTCGGCCCCACTGACTTACATCTCCAACATCACTAATTTCTCCACCTTCACAAAGGAACTAATAAGATTAAGCCACCTAAACGCCTTTACCTGTAAGTAAACCACCTCATTTCTTATTATACACGCCAAGGGCGCACAAAATTATAACACTATTATGAACCATATCAGGGATACTGGAGTTTGTTTTCATTCGTATCAACCTAGCGTTTATCGTTCATTCAGAGTCGTAATGAGAAGTCTTTACCATTCCACATTGTGTACGGAAATTTCCCACGCATTGTCGGAAGAAGGACATTCCGTGAAATAAGTCATTAATATCAAAAATAAAAATAAATGTGGTCTGTCACTATTTTTTGTCGATTTAAATCGTCATGATAACAATAATGATATTTTTAATATCACTTCGCTACTTAACACTATAGTCAAAATTGAGAAACCCCATTATTTTCGTTGGGGTCATCCACAGTGTTATAATTGTTAAGGCTACGGACATACTGATAGTTACTGTCACCATGAATCTAAATGCCTCAAATACGGCAAAGACCATCGCACCGAGAATTGCTCAAAAGACCAAAATATTCCAGCCAAATGCACGCTCTGTTCCGAGGCACACACGGTCAACTTCAAAGGATGCCGAGTTTATCAATCCATCATCAAAAAACGTCAAAAAACTAAACCCACATTATTTCACAACAACTTCCTTTATTCCAATAACAAAACCTTTGAGTCCCTCCATGATATTTCTATAAATTCGATTCCATCCTACACTTCCGCAATCTCTAGTACCCAACCCAACACCATCCTACATAATTTTAATTTAGAATCCATTTTAACGAAATTTCTCTCTGATTTAACATCTATAATTAACTCTTTTATCATTTCATATCTAATAAGCAAACAAATTCATAAATAAATAATCTAATACTATTATCGTTTAACGTAACTTATAATATTTTACCCTACTATTATAATTTACGGGATCACCTAATCGTATGTTGCTTTTAGATACCTATACTAAATTCTATATATATTATCTATTCATTTTTATTATTATCATTATTATTTTAATATTAATTAGTTATTTTATATCACCATCTACACTCTATTATTACCTACATTGTTATAATATCTGATTCTGTATTTAATGTAATTGTCAAACTATAATAGTATTTGCTGAAAGATCTACACAAAAAATAATTTTAATACTATTTTAATTATACAGACTGATTTTAAAAATAATGTCTTAGATCAATACGTTTTAGATAATAATAAATATTAAGTAAAATTTATATATCTTAACATGTCTATGTCTTATAAGAATTAATTTCATATAATCTCTTCTATTAAAATAAATTATCTCTATTTAAAAAAACTAATTTTTCTTAATGTATTATTTCCTTTACTTCTTCATATTCAATCGCATCTTTCACGCCCTACTCTATATTACTTTATTTTTATATTTTAAATTTTCGGGTTATTACAAAGTGGCACCCAACGTGGGGCTCGAACCCACGACCCCGAGTTTAAGAATCTCGTGCTCATAAAAAATAAACATAAAATAATGTGTACCATAAAAATGTCATTGATGTATACATTTTTATTTAAGATTTTTTTTTATTCAGCCCATTTTAGGTATTAAATAATTGTGAATCTATGAATTTATTTTAAGGTACACGATAAAATGAAATGTAAAAAAAAAAAATGTAAAACAAAACAATACTAATTATTATTTGTACAGTGTAGATAAAGAATAAAAACAAATGTTCATTGTATGTATGTATGATGTATTATTAATTTTATGTATTTTTTCCAGCTTTTCGATCGGCTTCGAATAGAAAAACCTGATTTTATGAACAATATTAAAGTTATTGATGGTGATTTAGAAAAAACAACAATAAGTTCACCGGATGATTATCAGTGGATGATTGAAAATGTAGATTTTATTTTTCACTGTGCCGCTACGATAAAATTTAACGAACCAGTAGAATCCGCATGTAAAATAAATATTCAAGGAACTGAACGTATATTGACGCTAGCAACAAAAATGAAAAATCTTAAGGGTTTTGTGCACGTTTCCACTGCTTATTCACATTGTCCAAGAGATGAAATCAAAGAGCAATATTATCCTACTCCAATTACATCTGCAGAACTTCAAAATATGATTAGTTCCGATAAATTACCATCAAATATTGTAGGGAACTGGCCAAATACGTATACATTTACGAAATCAATCGTTGAGAATTCGATAGCCACAAATTATGGGCACTTGCCAATCTCAATATTTCGTCCATCGATAATTGGGTGCTCTGTAGCCGAACCAGAACCTGGTTGGACTGATAATACGAATGGAGCGACTGGATTGATTGCTTCAAAGATTGCCGGAGTATTAAGAAC